GAGCCACAACAGCCACAACAGCTTCAACACAGTTTCAGGCTTCTAGGCACTATGCGGGGTTCAAGGTAGATCTGTCTGGATACAGCGATGCGTCGTATGCCCCACATGGGGGCAAAAGTTTCGGCTGTAGTCTGGTGATGATCGGCAAGACCCCCGTGACGTGGAAAGCCGGAAAACAACCGATAATATCTATGTCGGTCTGCGAGGCGGAATTACTCGAGGGATCCAACTGCGCTCTGTTGGTACAGTCGACGGAAGCTATGTTGAGAGAAATTCTACCTGCTACCAGCACCCCCACGTTGTACATTGACAACCAGGCTGCGAGCAACTTACTCAATGGTTCCTCTGGGAGCTGGAGGACAAGACACCTACGGATCCGCCATGCCTACGTGATGGATCGCGTCAAGAGTGGAGAGCTCTACGTCCAGCACCTGGCTGGAGAAGACCAACCTGCAGATCTACCGACGAAACTGCATTCCAAGGCGAGGCTGCTACACCTACTCGGGACCTGGGGGATGATAGGCCTGGCCGGGTTGAACGAGAAGAAGGGGTTGCAGTGCTTGAAGTTGGGATGTGTGTTCCTGCTATTGTTGGCGGTTCAGTCTTTGGCGGTGTCGGCTGCCAAAGAGCCTCTTCCAACGGTTGGAACCATGGAGCTATTCGTGCTGCTGATTCTCACGTGTATTTCTGCAGTGGCTCTGTGGGAAGCAGGAAAGGCTTTGGGCACTTGGGCCTATCTGAGGCTCTTTGGGTCGAAGCGCGAAAGAAAAATCCGCAAGCTGAAGGAGCTCGCAAGGATCGCAGCCGAGGCTGAGATCGAGAGGCACGAAGGCTTGGAACCCAGCTCGGAGACGAGCCGCCACCAAGTCACTTGCCGACTACTCGCCAGCTGCGCTACGTCTTGTGGACTTGGAGGCATTTTCAGCTGGCGGGAAGGACCCAGCTTTTGTGGGTCAATTTGGCAACGAGACCAGCCGTCTCCGAATGGCTAGCTCGCTGGAACCGGAGCTGAGGATAACCGACTGCACAAGAGAAGTGTCACAAGCCGCAGGCCAGTGACAAGGAGGAGTGATGATGTGAGAGTGCAGCGGTCGGCGAGTCTCAGTTCATGTTTCCGGTGAGACTGATGTTCAAGCGTGAGATCTTGAGTAAGAGAACGTCATCCCTGCAATGCTTGTACAACCGTGCGGGTAGATGTGTTCTCCGAACTGAAAAACTTTGTATAGATCAAGCAGTGAAGGAACTTTTCACCTTCCGGAGTGCTTAAATGCCCGCGAAAATTCGATGCCATGTCCGCTTAGCCTGGTTCCACCTGATCATGTCGTTGCCCTACGTGCACAACCCGGAATCCAGTGCTCCACAGATTACTTCTGCTATCCCTTCATAGTCCCTGTTTTACTTATGTTGTAACATACTATGACCGGGGCCAGGTGGTGTCGTTATGCGGTGTATCCGTGACCCCACACCACCCAAACTTTAGATTCTCTAGATTCCGTGTAGGTGTTATCCTCGACTTCATGCACTTTCGAATACCTCTGCACATGCTTACTTGACTCAGCCAATACAAGAATCAAAACAACGAGTTTTACGCATAGACGGACGTATAGACACACACACACACACAAAGACGTGCTCATGCATGTACATACCTACATACTTACTTACCTACGGACAGACGGCCAGAAGACAGCCAGACAGCAGCTAGATATACACATGCATGCACGCACACAGCCATCCATTAATCTTACCATGCACACATACATACATACATACATACATACATACATACATACATGACAAGAATTGTTATAGTCAGCGACAAAGAGGGCAATAGTACTAGCAAGTGAAATACGATGCTCTGGACTAAGACGGTGATGATGATGACGAGAATGCTGGTGGTGAAGATGATGACGATGCGGGCGAACACGATGATGTTGATGATGAGGAGGAGGATCACGATGACGATGGCGGTGGCGATGACAAATATGACGATGATGATGATAATGATGATGCTGATGGTGCTGATGCTAATGACTGATTTGCGTGCGCGCACACGCACACACGCACGCGCGCGCGCGCACGCACCCACAC